ACACACACACACACACACACACACACACACACACACATTTCTCACCACAGGGATTTCATCTGATCCAACGCACACATACACTCCAAGATAACGTTCCCTCTACACTCCAGGAGGTTTGAAACAGCACCTCCAGGTATTTTCAGACAAACACATTCTCACGAACACACACACATATGAGTATAACTCACATTACAATCCCTCTTCGCACCACAAGATCTGCAACTGCACCTTTAGCCGTTTCTTAACAAGCACACGCACGCGTTAAAATGCACACAAACCCGGGAGTGTTTTGGGCTTCGTGACGCCCATTAGACAGCGAGGCTGCAGGTACATGGCACGTTCCCATTAAATCTGCCACAATACCTCACTGAGCACACAAGACAGTGGAAATGCGCCAGTTTTACCAGCTAACCAGACACAAACAAAACACAAATACAGCCAATTCACACCAAACCCCATGTTTTTTGCCAACATGTTTTCACAAACACTTTTACACAGAGGCTAGTTCAATTTTCTAAGCTAAAAACTGGGAGAATGGTGAAACCCTACATGTTTAGACCATTTTTATTAACTTTAAGATCATCTACACTACCATTCAAAAGTTTGGGGTCAGTAAGACTTAAAATAACAATTAATTAATACTTTTATTCAACAAGGACGCATTAAATTGATTAAAATGTACAATTTAATGTTATTTATCAAAGAATCCTTGAAAAAATGTTTTGCAACATTTCTACAAAATTTTAAGTAGCACAACTGTTTTCAAAATTGATAATAAAAAAATGTTTCTTGAGCAGCAAATCAGCATATTAGAATGATTTCTGAAGGATCATGTGACACTGAAGACTGGAGTAATGATGCTGAAAATTCAGCTTTGCATCACAAGAATAAATTACATTTTAAAATATATTTAAATAGAAACAGTTCTTTTAAATTGTAATAATATTTCACATTTTTACTGTTTTACTGTATTTTTGATCAAATAAATGCAGCCTTGGGGAACATAGAGATATCTTATGTCTTATCTTATAAAATCCTCACTGACCCAAAACATTTGAAGAGTAGTGTATATGCTAATCACTTCCTAAACATTCACGACAACTTTTTGCAGACCTGCATATTAAATTTCCACCAGATAAAAACATTAAAAATCTTGATGACTCATCCTGCACTACACAGAATTTCAACCAATCAAATGATCTCTAGAGTGAAATGTCCCTCCCCAATACTACCTGCAACCAATTAGAAACTAAACCTTTATTTTATGGTCTTTATTTTATTTTTTTTATTTTGAAAAAAAAAAAAAAATGGACAATTCTTCCCAATCTAACAACAAAATGTAATTCCTTTATGTTACGATTTTGTAAGAATTAAGAAATAATGTTAGAATCGGAAATACATCAACACAGAACGGAAATCTGCATTTTCATGAGGTTTTTAAAAGCTCTACCAATCTTTTACTGTTAATGTCTAAATATAATTAAAATCTGTCTTAAAATATTTAAAATAGTTCAAAGAAACCCACATGCTTCAGTGTATTCTGAATGTCTCGGTTAGGAAACACTACGTTCGGGGGAGAAAAAAAAAAAACAGGATTTGGCTCCGCCCACTGTGAAATCTCATTGGTCAATTCTCCTGCTGTGTTATTTTTTCTATTTACAAATTACAGCATTGATTCAAATTAGCGGACATTAGAGTGATCAGATTAAACCACTCCATTGATTTCATTCATAATGCATGCTGCTAAAGCTACGCTTGCTAAAAACATTCTGCTTTGTGAGTCTTAATACGCCGGTTTCTTTTCCAGCACTCTTTTAAGCTGTAAAATGTTCCGAATGTCCAAAACAGACAATATCTCTCAATTAGTTTGACCCTCCATACTGACAAGCCGGGCTCCGAGTGCATCCCCTTGAACTGGCACAGCTCCCGGCTCACGCGTCTAAATTCAGCGACTGGCATCCTCTCCAGATGGCAGCGGAGGGTGTGAAGAGGATTTTGTTGAGGGGAAGCAGGACAAGCCCCCTCTTTGCATCCGGCCAGCTCAATCCAACCTTTCCCTGTAAACAGGTAGGAGATCTGCACGCCGGCTGCCCGAGCAGGATGTGGGCGCGCGGGGCGGGTCTAAAGACCGCTTGGGTCACATTCATGAGGCTTTGGCTCCTAGCGTGTGAAAGCTGAATGAAAAGGCAGCAGAGAAGGACATTTGGGATAAATATGACTCAAATAAATGTACTGAAGCTGCAATCTGCCGTTGACGCCACTAGCAGGCTACAGGCAGCGAAGCGGCTGGAAAACACTTTAGCTTCTTCCTTGAGGGACATTTCAGCAATTAGAGACTTTAAATGACCCGCTCACTTGCTACTTGTGAAAATGATATTTTAATGCTTCGTTTTTTGTTTTTTGTTTTCCATTTGATTGTTCTGTTATTTATTCTGATAAGTTTGCCCATTTTTGATGGAAGATTTTGGCTTAGGAAAGGCTTGACTTGTTGCTAACAGTCAACTTGAAAAATAGCACCAATGCCAATAATTTCCAATAAATGCTCACCAAGGCTGTATTTATTTGATCAAAAGTACTTTAAAACAGTGAAACATTTTTATAATTTAAAAGAAGAGTTTTCTACTTTAATATATTTAAAAATGTAATTTATTCCTGTGATGCAAAGCTGAATTTTCAGCATCATTACTCCAGTCTTCAGTGTCACGTGATCCTTCAGAAATCATTCTAATATGCTGATTTGCTGCTCAAGCAACATTTCTTATTATCAATTTTGAAAACAGTGCTGCTTTGATGAAAGAAAGTTCATAAGAACATAATTTATTTGAAATAGTAATCTTTCATAACATTATAAAAATCTTTACTGACACTTTTGATCAGTTAAATGCATCTTTGCTCAATAAAAGTGATTTTTTTATTGTTTTTTTTTTTAAAGAAATTAATAAAGATGTTTAAGAGTGCACTAACATGAGATATCCTTCAAGCTAACAGACATGTACTGAAAGCCATAAAACAACTATTTTGCTTTCACTGGCTCTTCAAGGCCATTTTTTTCTAGTAATACTCAAATGTAGGCTGCATACTCGTGTCCCACAACATGCCTTTTCACTCTATTCTGTAGAGAAAATGAGAGGTGCTGAAATGTCGAATGTAACTAGCGTGGAAAGAGTTGCGTCAGCTCCAAGGTCTGGCGGACTTTCAAGAGATGCTCCAGCCAACCCATGCTACACGGCTCAGCCCTGCCAAGAGCTCGGAGAAACCACAGGCAACGGCTTCCTTCTGCCAGAGTTACAGTCAAACAGGCTGCAGAGAACTCCTGGTTACAACGGCTCGCTTTTCAAATCAACACCGAATCAAAATGGAAAATGTTAGCCGATAGCCAAGTAGATATTTAGGCATTATTTCAGCAAACTCACAGTCAGTTCTTGCTCGAATCTGGTATGGAATGCCAACTTTTCAATTTCAACCAATCAATTAAATTAATGCTGGACAAAATAATGCAGTTCAACATTCTTGTTGAATATTCTGTTTCAGTCGGAACTATGACAACTTTATGCAAGTAAAATGGGTTGAAAAGGGTGTATTATGCTGACATTAATGTTATAAGCCAGAGTTAAATAAGACAACATGGACTTACGTTGGGCTGTGCATTCTGATTGTAAAAATGCCTTAATTTTATTAAATTCAAATATAGAATTAAAATTATTTAAATGTATATAGCCCAGAATGCAATCTAAAAAAACAAATCTAGCAGGCTCAAACATTAAAGGAATACTCTAGATTCAACTTAAGCTCTATCAGCAGGATTTGTGGAAAAATATAATTTGTATTTTATTACAAATAATTAAATTAATTTAAATTGAATTTAATTGAATTTAAAAATAAGATAAAATAAATGGGAATGATATTATGGTGTTACAATGGTAAAAAATAGTTAAATAAAATAAACAGATTAAATATTTTAAAAAAAAATTTTTAAATGTATTTAAAATTACTTTAACAGAACATGTGACATTATGTGAAGTTACTCATCCACTAAATAACCTATCAGAAATTCCTGAAAAACTGAACATCCAAAATAAAATAAGATGAAAAAATATGAAATAAACAAATATAAAATAAAATAATAAAAGTACTTAAATGGTATCAGATGACAATACCATACATGGTATATTTGCATAGCACATAAAAAAAAAAAATCATGATATTACCATCATACATGTTCAAAAAACCTAGTATTAGCATGAAAACTGGATAATAAAACATGACATTACCATGATAACCATGTTTAAAGGCCAAAATAATACCTTTTTGTTAATGTAAAAAGATATAGAACATGAACTATTGAGGAAAAAAATTGCTGAGGCAGAGAAAATAAAAGATGAGGAAAGACAAGAACACACACACAAAGCCCTAAGGCAGAGCCATAAAGTAACAGACAGTTTGATATATTCTCTTCGGCGTCTATGGTAATGTTTGCTAACGTGGCTTGCATGATTGGCTATTGTGGTAATATATGCAAATGTGACTTGTATGATTGGCTGCTGTGGTAATATATGCAGGTCAGAAGTGATTTACACCCTTCAGTCTTACATAACACCTTACATCCGCAGTGAAGAGAGTACGAGCCTCTTTACAAAGAGATGAAAAATGGATTCTGCCTGGGTATAGTAGATAACTCCATTTATCCACCTGCTACAAACTAACAAGCCGAAATGGCTCAATCTGCAGACAGATGCAAACACTAAAAAAGGGATGAAAGTCGGAAACTAGAGCCGTTAGAGCCGAAATGGCTAACTATGTGAAATGATGTGCACACAGACAGGACTGAAAAGAAAACTGGATTAAAGACGGCACCTACGACAGATGATTGTAGGCTGAAATTACACTTTTAACCATTACAATGCTTTGATGGGTAAAAAAAAGAGCCAATTCTTCTACCTGAACTGAATAGAAAACAGGACCTGAACACTTCAGAAAGTATTTGAAAGGAAGATGAAAGGCTGTTTCAGAAAAGTTTACATCTTCGAGTGAAACCGACAGTCTGGCTCTGAGTGACACAGCAGAATCTGGCTTCTAGAAGATTCAGCGTGCCATTATAAACGCTATGAAATATTCATACCTGTAATATCAATCATATTAACTGACAGCACTCTGGATGGAGGAGCTGGCCAACAAATCATTCGTAATGGAATTTTTAAATCTATTAAAAGACAACGGTAAAAGCGTTTACGTTTATCTTTATCAAATAAACTTTCATTGTACATGTTGGTATGAAACCAGAGTGACAGAATCACTTTCTGACATTTTTAATATTTAATGTTAGGCTATCTAATCAATTTCAATGTCATGACCGCATAACTCTAGTAAAGACGGTAAACCCAGTCAATTTGATACAGACATCAGAAAGGCGAACTTTAGTCACAGGAATAACGTCGGTAACACATAACTAGAGGTTCAGAAACATATTCTAACTGCAAAAATGACAATATTAGACATTTAATAGCACATATAAAAATTGATTCAAGTGCAAATTTATATTAAAAGGATCATTCATTTAAAAACCAGTGTCATTTTAATATATATACTGTATGGTGTTGCTGTATTTGCATATTAAAGTGAAAATTTTGGCCAAAATATAATAAAATAAAATAAAATAAACAAGTCGTCATGCACATTTGGTCTATTTTCCTGGCTTTTGCCAAACATTGCAAAAATAAATAAATAAATGAATCGAATCAAATCAAATCAAATCAAATCAATTAACCAAGAAGTAATAAATATTTTGTCTATTTTCCTGGACTGTGAATTTTACAGTAAATGTGTATATCGCCAGCATATAGATGACCTCAAAGCTAACAAACATGAACTAAACACCATAAAACTCACATTTTGATTCTACATTTTAGTCAGAATTTTTAAATCATAACTACTTTGTGCAGATACACTTGTAAACAGCTTTAAGCATCTGTACCTATCAAAAAGCAGCATGAGGTTACCAAACATCAACGTCACACTTTCATTATTTTATTTCCACAGTAGGAATCTCATCACAACAGCTTCATGAATGGGCTTATGTGCGATTCTTCCTGAAAACGATCATATCTGAGTAGGTGTTGAACACACATGAGCCTGATCCGTCACAGATTGCGTCACGCTCACCCGTGAGAATTCACAAACACTGAACCCACAGCTGTAAAGTCTGCAGGTGACACTCGGGGCGAGAGACCTCACACACCCATATAGGTGGAAAATCACAGTGTCTAACTTTCAGGTATGGTAATCCCACATCATTGTATGCATAAAACGCATAATTGCATGTGAAAGAATGTTATTTATAGTCGCTATGTGTGTATATCTCAGTCCTAGTGTTTGTAAACAGCCATGACTGTGTTTGTGTATACATATGTGTGTGTGTGTGTGTGTGCGCGTGACAGACACCCAGCGGGTAATTGATGCACCAGCTCGAAGTGGCAGGTTCGACGACACCCCCTGCGTCACCCTCCTCCTTCCAGAAGCATATACGCACACACACACACACACACACACACACACACTAACAAGCCAACATAATTACATGCCTGACTCCTAAAGATAGGGGAGAGAGGGATGCGACTGATTGCTGTGAAAGCGGGAGGGGAGAACGAGAAATGGAGAAATGAAAACATCTGGCCAGCGAAGCTCGAGCAATCAAGAAACACCAATCAGAATCACACACAAACGACCCCTTTGGCCTTCAAATCTCACTTATTGTATACTCATTCTGATGCTTCATTAAATAGTGCTATTATATATGACACTTGCATGTTCACACAGCTTAATGTATCATTGTATATTTGCATACTACAATGGATTCTCACGGAACTCATTTGGATCTTGTCCAGGTCATATTACTCTCCAAAATCAGAAGAAATAAATGAGAAATTATATTTTGTTTTAAGAAGAAAAAAAAATTATTTTCTTTTCTTGTTTCTTTGTGACATAAATCTTATGACAATTAAGAAACTTTTGCTCCAAAATTTAATATAATGCATTAATGAATGCAAAAATTAATATAATGCATTAAAATCAGGATCTTGTTCAGGTCATATTACTCCCCCAAATCAGAAGAAATGAGAAATTAAATTTTGTATTAGGGAATTAATGTAATTATTATATTATATAAAATTTAATTATT